CCCAGGGCACCCCTCACGCTGCCTCTGGGCTCTATGGGGGGGGGTCAGCCCTCTCCTCCCCCCATTTAGGGGTTGTGGGGGGCTCTCATGGATCAGGACCACACTGGGGTGGGGGCCAAGGGGGGGGGTGGTTGCACCGGCTGTCCTCGCGTGAAACCCTGCACCCCGACCCAAGGGAAGGAGGACCCCAAAACCCGTGGTGGGGGTCTCACACCCTCCAATGCCCCCCAAGAAGCCTGGCCCTGACGGCTGGGGGGTCCCCGTTCCCCGGCAGGCCAGTGCCCTCCCCCCCCCCAAAACGTGGCAGCTCAGACTGTGGACCGGAGACGGGAGCGCCTGTTGGAGGGCAGAGGTCCGGCTGTTAACGAGATCCTGTTTGCTTATTAATGAGAAACCGAGCTGGTATCTCCCCGGGGAGCGGCCTCCTGGCACGAGGTGACCCCTCTCTCCCGCCTGCGGCTCCAACCCTCAGCCCCGAGCCGCTCTCTGCCGATTTACCGCTTCCCACCCGCCTTCCCCCGACCCGGTATTCTCTCTAAAACCTCCCAGGAGGGGCTGGAGGTTTCCCACTTGCCCGCATCCCACCCTCTGGGCCCTTCTTCCCCTGCCTTCCGCCTCCCGGTGCCATTTCCCGGCCGTTTGCCAGGTGTGGGGCTCACTTTCCTCCCCACTCCGAGGGGGAAAGGGACCCGTGAGGGGCTCGTTCTGCTGCCAGCGGGTTGTGTTTGGATGAGGTGTGCAGTGGTCGGGCGTTTTCCAAGCAAAACGGACCCGGGGGCTTTGGTTGTGCTCGGAGGTGATGGACTTTTTGCGGGGTAGGGGCAGAGTGGAGGCACCGCTTCCACCGAAGAGCGATGGTCCCATGTTTTTTGTCCCTGTCCTGGAAAGGAGAAGCTGCTGCTGACCCCAAAATACCCGATTTCTCCTTCCCCCGGCTCTGGAGCAATTCCTCGTTTGTGTTTGACCCCAGGAGCGACCCGCGGGCTGCAGTTTGGAGCCCATCTTGCCCGGCCTCTGGGCAGCCCAGCGTGGTCAGCTGTGCAGTGGCTTCAGTTGGGTAAAAGTCATCCAGGGGAAGGACGGTGTCCCCTTCCCGAGGCACGGGGCCAGCTGGGCTGGCTGTCACGCCGGCTGCTCGCCCTCCTTGCTGGGACAGACCCTGTGGAACGGCTCCGTTCCCCCCTCCCGCCCCCCTCTCTGCAGCAATTCTTTGTAAATGAAGCCTTTCACTTGGTTTTGGTTTTTTTTGCTGTTACATAAATTTCTCTGGGGGATAAACTTGGCCCGTGAAATCCCTTCTGGGGCTCCCGGGGGAATGACACCCGGCGCTGCCTGCACCGTGGCTGCCCGGCACCGGGAGCCAGAGCGAGGGGCAGAAATGCTGCCGTGAGCAGAGCGGGGATAATCCGGCCTCTGAGCCCCAGCAAGGGCTTTCCTCCAATTCACCCGCAGACAGGTCAGGTCCTGGCTCTCCTGCCGGCTGCAGGCGCCGACGGTGTCGGAGGGGTTTGTACACAGAGTAGGGGATGTGACATTAAATGCCCCCAACTCCAGGCTCTGCATGTCCTCCCCCCCTGGGGCTGCTTTCCTGCCCTCTGCCCCCTCGGGGGTCTGCGTTTCGGCTGCCTCGGGCAGTTTGGGAGGGAGCTGCTGGGTGCTGGCCCCCCCGAGCCTGCCTGGGAACGAGGGCTCTTCGCTGTGGCCGGGGTTTCAGCAGCACGAGCTCCTTCCCCCGGCTCTCCCAGACCTGCCTCCTGCAAACCTCTGAGGTCTGGGCAGGCTCCAAACAACCAAAGCCTCGACTTACACTTAATTTTAACGATTTAATTGAATAATGGGGCAGCGGGATTGGATTGCTGGTTCTCAGGGGACCAAAGCCTTAATGAACAGCGGCTGCACGTGGGGGAGATGTGCACAGAGAGGAGATGTGGGGCTCTGGCAGCAGGGCTGCTCCCGGGCACTTGGCTCCGGTACCAAGGCTTGTCCTTGGATGGTCCTTATTGAAACACCAAGTGGCTTCGCGTGCGGAGAAGTCGGTGCCTTGACTTTGGACCGTAGGTGTGTGCTAAAGTCTCCGCTTCTGGCGTCCCTGCAGCCTTGGCCCAGGTCCAGGCTGGTGACAGGTCAAAAGCCTTGTGAGTTTGTTGCAGTAAAGTCCCTTCCAGGCCAGGGAGGGGGACAAAAGGTGACAAAACCAGACCACAGCTCCCTTGGGGACAGACTCTGCCACGTGCCATGGCTCAGTGCGGCTGCGCCGGTGGCTCGTTGGGCACCTCAGTGGTCGGGTGTGCAAAGGGTCATACTGGAATTAATTGGGGGTGGTTGTTATTCTCAATTGGAGGGTCCTGGCATGTGCCTGTTCTCACTATGGTGATGAGAAACCTGTTCAGCAGATTGAGCTGGGGTCTCTGGGTATGTGACCCTCTTCTGTGTCCCCCCCCTGCAGGTTCACTGGCCTTCCTGGGGCTGTACCTCATGTTCGGCTATGGCGCCTCGCTGATCTGCAACCTCATCGGCTTCATCTACCCCGCATACGTCTCGTAAGTGCCCGTGTCCCAGCCCAGCCTCCCCGCAGTGCCTGGAGAGCACTCCCTGCCCCTTAGCTGAGGGTCTTCCCGGTAAACGAACAGGTTGTTACGGTCGGGAAGCTCTTGAGACCTTCCTGAAAGCACTGGGAGCTGGCACAGTCCCAGCCCGGGGCCGCAGCAGCCGGTGGGGCAGGTTTGCTCCAGGGTTTGGAGGACCTGGGGAAGGAGGTGCCCGCCCTGGCAGCAGGACTGCAGCCAGCAGCGCCCCTTCCCCTCTCCTGCCACAGCATCAAAGCCATCGAGAGCTCCAACAAGGCGGATGACACCATGTGGCTGACGTACTGGGTGGTGTACGGCTTCTTCAGCATAGCCGAGTCCTTCTCCGACATCTTCCTCTACTGGTTCCCCTTCTACTACGCTGGGAAGGTAACGGCTTCTCTGGGGACTGCTGGGGCCGGTGTCCTCTCCCCTGGTGGCTGAACTGGGAGGAACCAAGCGTGGTGGGCTCTGCCCCATTAGCAGGGTGGTGGTGGTGGCCGTGGTGGGGCCACACTCCATCACAGAACCCCCCGCAGTCAGCTCACGGTTCCTTTAGCGAGCTCCGGCCTTGGGAACCCGCCTTTGGGCCAGGCTGGGGGGAACTGGGGCAACTCAGCTGCCATCTGTCAGCTCTGGTGGTCTCTCCTCCCCGCAGTGCCTGTTCCTGGTGTGGTGCATGGCCCCCATCACCTGGAACGGGTCGCAGGTGCTCTACCAGAACGTCATCCGGCCCTGCTTCCTCAGGCACCACGAGACCGTGGACAAAGTGCTGGGCAACCTCAGCACCCAAGCCCTGGACACGGCTTCCAGCGTCACCCGAGAAGGTAACGCGGGTCCCCGCCGTCCCGCTCCGTGTCCGGGGTGGGCATTTTTCCCCGGAGCACAGCTGGGATGTGGGACGTCCTCACGTTAATTACCATCAAGCCACCGTCTCTCCGTGACCGTGGGCTGTGTGGTGGTCAGAGCCGAGTTGTGGGGTGAGGATTCTCTCTCCCCCCTCTCTGTAATTCTCTCTCTTCTCTTTGCGCCTCACGCTCCAGTCCTGCACACCCTCATCAGCAGCAGAGCCCGGCTGGCGGCCGAGGTGGCACCACAGCTCAGCATCTCTGTATGTAAGAGCCACAGTTCCCGCTGCAGCTGAAGGGACAAGGGGACCCGTCCTGACGTGAAAAAGCCCCGTGGCTACCACCAGCTTGTTTGGCTGGACCCCACAGGTGGCCACAGCCACCTCGGTGCTGGCCAAAATGGGGTGGCCATCACGGGACGGTCCCTTTCTCCCTCAGCATGGGTAGAGCAGGTGCTTTCCCTCCTCCTCCGTAGCCAGACACCCCTCACTCCCCCCAAAATTGTGTGTCCTCCTTTGGCCTCGCCATGTCTATGTCTTCCTCAGCAGCTCGGGGGGTCCCGGTTGAAGGTTGCCGGGTGGCTGTTGACGCCCCGGGGATGGGCTTTAACGTTGTTCTTGTGTCTCCCACAGCCTCCAGAACACCCCTGAAGCTGAAAGATATAATGGAGAAGAACGAGTGAGAAGGGTCCCCAGTCTCCCCAGTGACCCCAGGACTGGGGCCTAGGCCTGGGCCTGGGGCCGGGCCTGGGCCTCGCTCGGCCGGGTCCCCAGCCTAGCGAGGCCCAGGCCCAACCCCAGGCCCCACAGCTCCTCCCGCCCCTCCCCAATAAACCCCCGGTGCTCCCCAAACCCTCTCTCCCGTGTGTGTTCATTGTGGGCTGCGGCTCCTTTAAGAGTGGGGGGGAAGGAGGGGAAGGAGGGTGGTGCGGCGCCTTTAAGGGAGAGGGCGGGGCTGCGGGAAGGGGGCGCGGCTTGATGACGTTGTTCCGAGGGGGCGCCGGAAGTGAGGTATGGGGAGGGGTGAGGAGCGTGGCGGTGGGGTGTCTGTTTGTTTGTCTGTCTGTCCTGGGGGGGTGAGGGGAGTTCCGTCCGTCCGTCCGTCCGTCCGTCCGTCCGTCCCGGTTCCGCCGCCCCGTCCCGGCCCGTCCCGGCGGAACCCCGGGGCCGCCGCTCGCGTGGGCGACACGGGCGTTTCCGCCGGGCGGCACCGCTCGTCTGCTCCGGAAGCCCAGGAGCAACCTTGGCCGCGCCGATTGGCTGGAAGGGCGGGGAGACCCGCCG